GATTACGATATAACCAATGCACGAAACTTCTCACTCTATACCTCTCGGTAGTTTGAGTGATTTTGCCCTAATTGACTTTCTCAAGACCAATTGGGTATGATAATTTGTGCAAGCAATTTAGGTTCAAGTCAGGTATTACTATCTCTAGGTTTAACCCTTTAATTGGGGCTATCAATCTCTTGAATACGCCCCAATTCCTTGTTGGACTAATTTTTCTAGACTCAAGCTCTCTTTCTCAAGAACAGCCCAAGAAAAAGGCACAAATTAGTGTTTGCAACCACTAATTTAACATGGAAAACACAAATTAGTCCAAATATCAAATACCCATAGACATTCAAGCCTTAAAACTCAAGACCGATCAAATACCCATACTAGGGTTGAGCCACAACCCTAGCTAATTGGTCTAGCTACTCATAATAATAGAAGAAAACTGATAAATAGATGAAGAAAAACCCATAAGATTTAATTATAAGCTAATAATTGAAGATTCAATGATAAAACCACTATAAAATTACTCAAAATGGTTAAGAACAGTCGTTCACGTGCTCAGCCCAAAGTCAGATTAAAAAAGATGACCTAAAATGGGAAAAGAAAGTATTTATACTAGGCCGAATTTTCTGGACAAAAATACCCCTGCTGGGGTACCACGAACCGCAAGAAATGGAGTGTGGTCGCGGTGAGGCTTTGTGGCTTCAAACTCTGCTCTCTGAACTTGGCCACCGCGGGCTGCACAAAATGCTCTGCGGCCGCGTAGGCTTCAACTGCGGTCCGCACAAAAAGGACCGCGGACCGCATTGGCATTAATCTCCAAAACTCCCAACTCTCTGAACCCCATCTTTGCGGGCCGCATAAACTTGATTGAGGCCGCGGTGAGGCCACTGCGGTCCGCACAAAATGCTTTGCGGCCGCAGTGCTTGAGCTTCCAAATATGCACTCTCTGAATCTCCTCATTGCGGATCGCACTAAATGAAATGCGGCCGCAGTGGAACTATTGCAATGTGCTTGGACTTGTTCTTGGTACTTGTGCATGTTTCACTCCTTTTTGAGCTTGTTTTGACTAATTGTCACCTTTTTTACCAAACCCTGCAAACAAGTACAAACATGTAAGCCTTTGGGACTATTTTGTATACATTTTTAATAAAAACTCAAGTAAGAAGGAGTGTAAAATGAACCATAATCCCTAGTCATCAGTGGACGCGGGTGTGGATGCGGGGCGGGTGAACGCGGGTGCAAATGCTATGCGGGGCGGGGCGGGGCAGGTTGAAATTTTACGGGTTAAGAGAAAACCCGC